ATTACAGTGATTTTCACCATTCGTCTATACAGCCTGCACGAAAATTGCAATGTTGACGAAAGTTTGAGGATGCCTTTGTATAGTTTTGCTCTGCTGTGGTAAAACAGTTTAATTTGTATCGCTTTATTCGCAGTTACCCTTAGAGACTGATTTCAGGAAACAACCGACTTTGGCTTACCTTAGAAATTTTCGTTTACCTTGCTGTGTTTTGTTTTCAAAAAAAATCACAGTAAGCTCTTATGAAGATTTTCTTAGATATATTCAGACACATTCATTTTCGATAATTCATCAATTTAATCGTGAGATGGCGATTACGTCAATCTGCTTGTGGTGACTTCTGATCGACTAGCGAATTTATCTCATCAGCCATCTGGGAAAATTTGCATGCGCCAATAAAGTGAAAGAAGGAGAAAGTACTTAAAGCGAGCCACTGTGGACGTATTTTTTAGAGTATATAAATATGCACGTTAGCGATAAATAACACTGTTCAAGTTATACAACAAATTTCATCAAATGATCGACCGAAACTGATCAAAGTGGCAAAAAGTGTATCAGCAAAACTAGAGGAACGACTATGAAGAATGGTGGAAACACACCTTTAAATTCACGCTATATCCTTTGCTGAACATTTCAAAAGAGAATACATTGGATGAACTGACTATGGAGACAAACTGAGGGTAACTATAAAAAATCAATAGAAATGTGAACAGTACAAAACGGAAGTAATAGAAAATAACCGAATGGAATCTTTAACATTCGCAGAAACCTGAAATAAATTTGGTGGTCTGTTGTGCTTAGGCATCAATCCTCTGAACTCGCTTGTGTCCGAATATTTTCCGTATATTTCTGAACAGCGGTAAGTAAGTGTTTATCGGCTTCGAATTGTATGCACCGCTCTTACTGACAGGTGAGTGACAGCTGCTATAGTAGTTAGACGAGCATCGAGACAAAGTCTGATATACTACGAAATTATCATGTTGCAATGAATCTGTAGTATTTCACGAAAGGAAGCAGAGGAAAGTGTGTAGCCGCTAAAACCTTGGCCATTCTTACACTTTCATGATGGGGCCAGTTCTGGCAAACTTCTTCGCATGAAATTAATTGGTGGGATTCAGATATATAATTCTATGACATCAGTAAGGGGTACCTCATTTTAA